GCTTCTGTGGCACTCAGCACTCACCTTCATTGCAGTGTTTTTTCAAATCTTTATTCACTGTATCTCATAAATTCTTGCCATATATGTGTTGCACAACATTTTGATGAATAAGATGAATTATTGAAAAATGAATAATATGCTATCTCTTCCACTTGGTTCTGTGTCTCTTTTCTATTTTTGCCAATCTGAATGAATAGGTTTCTAAGACTTCTCACACTCATGGCTAAAGAATATATTTTGAGCACTGAATATGTGCCAACTATTATGTGTCATAATCGACCAAAAAAAAAAAAAATGTCCTGCATGCATTTAGGTGTTTCGAAAGGAAGGGGGGAAATCTCTATTTCCGAGAAACAGAAGCCCGACTATTCTTTGATAAATGTTTTTATTTCCCAGGGACTAGTAGCAACTCTCTTCCCAGTTCCAGATTAAATGTGAGAAGGAGTCCATATGATACAGAACCTGCTATTATGAGAGAGATGTCATGGTTCACTGGAACTAGGCTTTAGTTTGAAGTTAATGTGCTTGGGTTTCTATCCTCATTTGGCCATTTTTGGGGGCCACCCTCAAATACAATAAAGTGGGGAAAAATTGTATCTACCTCAAGAATTATTTGAAAGGTTAAATGAGCTCAGTGGTGTGAAAATTCTTTAAAAATAAATGAATCTCCAAATTAGTCCTCATTTATATTCCCAAAGGAGTTGACTACCTTGAGTATCTGGCAAAGGCACATCTCCACTGAGAATGGTTAAGGGAAATGCAATAATTATTCCCAAATTGTCCAACATCAGAAATCTGTGGCTTTAGTCCCATGGTTCCCAACCTGGCTGATAAAAATGGATGCTTCTGTTGTTGCCTTGGATCTGGTTAAAAAAAGAGGAGAGAGAGAGAGAGAGAGAGAGAGAGAGAGAGAGAGAGACCTCCTTCTCACTTGAGGGTTGAGCTTGTGCCTTTTTTTCCTGCCCCAGATTAAATCTTCTGGAGAGAAAATGAAAACTTAGTTCACATCCTGGGGCTGACAGTCCTTGAATTTATCACTCTGGAGCTTGGTAAGGGCAGTGCTTATAGACTTCTTTCCACAATAAATGTATGTGTATGGGGGGGAGTGTATGTGTGTGAATGGTCTGCTACATAAATCTACTTTTGCCAAGCACTTTTATAATTTTGTTGTATGATCTTAAATAACTTAGATGAATGTAATAATTATAATTCCTTGGAGGTTTGTACTTTGTAAGAAAATATTATCTCAGTTTTGCTGAATATATGGCATGTATTTAAACTATGAGCAAAACTTCCCAGGTTAAAAAATAACAATAATAACATAATCTTCATCATTTTGCAGATAGTTTTAAATATGCTTACATACAATTTTCTGTTATGTTCCAATATTCAAAAATTATATCATAAGATTTTTATGAACTAATTTTACTGGCTATTTGGTATTACTTCCAATGGATGTATACCACAGTTGCCTTAACTTTTTTTCACTTGCTGATAGAAATTAGGTATTCCATCAAAAACATTGACCAATATCCAGTCTGCTTTTGTCCTGGAGCCCTGAGAATTCACTGTATGAGGAATTATCCTTGTAGATCCTGTAGTTGGTATTCTAGGCTCTCTATTTGCTTTTAATCATCTGATTAAGGACTGAGGCAATACATCCATCCAAAGGTGTGGGGGTAGTTACAGCTCCCACCTTCTTCTTAATGAGGAGCACGTATCCAATGTCTCTTTTCCATCAAACCATGCTCTGCTAGAGGCAATATAGCACATGGGTTAGGAACATGGGTTTGAAATCAGATAAATCTGGGATTGAATGATCTGTCCATAATTTCATGCTGAATGATTTTAGGCAAACTACTTACACTCTGCAAGCCCTAGTTTCCAACTAGTTAAATGAGAATAATGTCTTTTTGTGTGTGTGTGGTCCTGTTAGCCTGAGATGATACAAAGTACATGTCACAGTAGCTGACATATTATTATTCACAGATTAAATATGTAATTAATGAATGATTGTTATTATAATGTTGTTATTATTAATATTGCCATCTAGACACATATCTTGAAGCCATAGATTTCCATTAATCTTCAAGCTTCCTGATTTGATTCCTAAAATTCTTGAGTGCTCTCAGGCAACAAGTACTATCTTACTCAAGGATGTAATTAATGAAGGTATGTAATATAGTATGAGCAAATAGTCTTTGCAGCCAGGGATCAAATCTCAAATTTACCAGATACTAGTGCTATATAACATTGGACAAGTTTCATCACTGAGTTCCAGTGTTCTTTTCTCTAAAATAGGATCTGGATGTCTATATTGAAGGTTGTGGGAAGAAATGGACAGTATTTGAAAAGCATCTGGTGCACATTAGGTGCTCAATCATATTTTATTACAATGTGACTATTTTTAGCCTTACAGCAGCCAAATTGCAAAGATGATAAATTTGTTCTGTGTCTACGACTTCTACTTCTATTCTGCCTGTAATCCCTAACCCTCTCCCCTCCTCACTTTGTCTGAGGAGGTCAGTGCCCTTGTTCTGCCATTCAAACCTGGTCCCCAAATATAAATGGGTCCCAGCCATCTCATCTCAGTGAGAGGGTTGGCCAAAGGGCTTTCTTGTCCAGGAGTATTTACTTTGGTTGGGAACTTAAAACCTTTTATCTCTTGATGAAAGAATTTCAGATGCCAGCAGCATTTTGAGGGTGATATTTTGTTGCTGGTGTTTTCTTAATAGTTTATTGTCAAGTTGGTTTCCATATAACACCCAGTGCTTATCCCCACAAGTGCCCTCCTCCATGCCCATCACCTCCTTCCCCTCCCCCCAACACCATCAGCCCTCAGTTTGTTCTCAGCATTCAAGAGCCTCTCATGGTTTGCCTCCCTCCCTCTCCCCAACTATTTTCCCCCTTCTTCTCTCTCATGGTCCTCCATTAGCTTCCTCCTAATCCTCCTATATGTGCAAACATATGGTATCTGTCCTTCTCTGCCTGACTTATTTCGCTCACCATAACACCCTTAAGTTCCATCCATGTTACTACATGTGGCCAGATTTCATTCTTTCTCATTGCCATGTAATATTCCACTGTATAGATAAACCACATCTTCTTGATCCATTCGTCCATTGATGGACACTTAGGCTCTTTCCATGTTTTGGCTATTGTTAAGAGTGCTGCTATGAACATTGGGGCACTTGTGCCCCTATGCATCAGCACACCTGTATCCCTTGGGTAAATTCCTAGCAGTGCTATTGCTGGGTCATAGGGGAGTTCTACTGTTAATTTTTTGAGTAATCTCCACACTGTTTTCCAGAGGGGCTGCACCAGTTTACATTCCCACCAACAGCGTAGGAATGTGCCCATTTCTCCACATCCTTGCCAGCATCTAGAGTCTGAGGGTGATATTTTGGATGAGGATACAGTCTCAATGTTGGTCTGGAAATCATACTACATAGGTATAATTTTACATGTTCCCCCTGAGAAAAACTGACCTAGATGATTTGAAAAATCTCAAGTAAATTAGAGAGTGTTCAATCACTCATTTCCCAATATCCACGAAGACTGTGGGGTCAGGGTTGGGTCCAAAGTGCTGGAATCTGCATAAAGATCTGTCTCTAGGACTAAGTAGCCAGCTACCTTTCATGTTTTTCTGAGAGACCTAATGGAAAAGCATTCATAAATATTCTAATTTGATATCTGGTCCCACACCTTCTAGGGAGCCAGTTAGCTACTTTGCTGTTGCCATTGAAAGCTATCATTCGATATGAATTTTCACCTACTGGATTAAACTGGTTTATTATTACACTCTTCTTTTCACTCCTATGGTGGTGGGAGGAACCAGGAATGGTGGACATGGTTGCCTTCTAAATCCAGTTGGTAAAGTGATGGTGAGGCCAAGTCCTCATCATAAACACGTCTGTTTCCAGGCTCTCTAGTTTACTCCACTGTTTTATTAGTTTATCTTTGTAAAAATACATTTTTTTGTTGTAGCCAATATACTTTTACAGTAATCTTTGATATGTTATAGTGAATCCCTGCCTTCTCTTTTTAAAAAAATGTGTAGATATATTGATAGATATTGATTTGGGTTAGGCAATAAGTCTCTTACAGGCTAGTTTGGAGACACTGAAAAAAATAATTCCTTTAAAAATTATTTTTAGATTTTTAGATCATACTTCTTTGAAGGTAATTCCATGTGGCAGCTAAATAACACGGGATTCCAGGATTATTAGGATGAAACCTGGATCTTGAACAAGACCTGTTGTAAGTTTCTTAAGAGGCTGCTGTGATTAATTCAACTGGATGTGACATCTTTCACTTGAACAACAAATTCATATTGTATATTTATTATTAATTGTCTATGATAGATTCTGAGTCTACAGCCAATGAACAAATCAGCAATAATCATGGAATGTGTCAAGAGTACAGGATTACTCTTGACAGCAGAATTAATACAGCAGAATTAAACATATTACTATACACAAAATTATGAAGGGCAATGAGATTTGTGATGTCAAGTAATTTGTTTTGCTTCCAAAGAACAAACTCTGGAGTCACAATGTTTGGGTCCAAATCCCAGCTGGTCATCTTACCTCAGTGACTGTGAGACTGCCTGCCTCAGCTAGCCCATCTGAAAAGTGGAAATTAACAATGGTACCGACCAAGGTCATATACATAAGACTATTGAATCAATTGCTACATGTGAGCTATTCAAACAGTGCATAAGGACAACATTCAATAAACATTAACTGTTAGTGTTAATCATTTGCAAAGACTGGCACTGAATTGAGAAAGAAAGTGATTCTATATCCTAAAGGTACACATTTTCTACATTTATTCAGCAAAAATATGTCTAAAATGTAAGAAGATATGGATGAAGACCTTCCCTAAATCTAAAGAACATCTCTATTATATTATGCCACAATGATCACTTTTTTATCCAGAAACATTCCACCTTCTCTTTTCAACTTTCCCCACTGGTCCCCTTCAGCTGATATACCAGTATGAGGAAGGAGAACCAGAGTAGTGTGTCCGAGTTCCTCCTCCTGGGGCTCCCCATCCGGCCAGAGCAGCAGGGCGTGTTCTTCGCCCTGTTCGTGGGCATGTACCTGACCACGGTGCTGGGGAACCTGCTCATCATCCTGCTCATCAGGCTGGACTCTCACCTCCACACCCCTATGTACTTCTTCCTCAGCCACTTGGCCTTCACTGATGTTTCCTTTTCATCTGTCACTGTCCCAAAGATGCTGATGAACATGCATACTAAGTACAAATCCATCCCCTATGCAGGGTGCATTTCACAGACATACTTCTTCATATTCTGTGCTGATTTAGACAGTTTCTTAATCACTTCAATGGCCTATGACAGGTATGTGGCCATCTGTCACCCTCTGCATTATACTATCATCATGAGTCAGAGAATCTGTGTCATGCTGGTGGTTGGATCCTGGGTCATTGCTTGTGCTTGTGCTCTTATGCATACCCTTCTCCTAGCCCGGCTGTCCTTCTGTGCTGACTACACCATCCCCCACTTCTTCTGTGATCTTGCTGCCTTGCTCAAATTGTCTTGCTCAGACACTTCCCTCAACCAATTGGTAATCTTTACCGCAGGATTAACAGCTGTTATGCTTCCATTCTTATACATTGTGGTTTCTTATGGCCATATTGGGGCCACCATCCTCCGGGTTCCTTCTGCCAAGGGCATCTGCAAAGCCTTGTCCACTTGTGGCTCTCATCTCTCAGTAGTGACTCTCTACTATGGAGCAATTATTGGTCTCTATTTTCTTCCCTCATCCAACAACACCAATAACAAGAACATAACTGCTTCATTGATGTACACAGTGGTCACCCCCATGTTGAATCCTTTCATTTATAGCCTGAGAAATAAAGACATGAAAGGGGCTTTAAGAAAACTCTTGAGTAAGAAAACATACTCTTCTACCTGATACTTACTTTTCTTTTAAAATATACATATTATCATATTTCTTCAATTACATGTAAACACAAATTATTGTAAATATAGCTCTCTTGTTCACCTTCCACACTGTCACTAAGAAATGCTTTGCTGACATTATCCTTACAGCTGTTGGGGAGAATAGTAAAATTCGATGTGCTTTATGGGATTTAATGTGTTCTTTTCTTGAATGATGGGATTGGAAAATACTTTGAAGATGCTGTGCCACCTTGGCTGGTATAATCAAATGGAAGCTATCAGGGTTGGCCTCTCCTCAGATTTTCAGATTGGTATAAAATATATTTGGTCTTTTATGCATCAGTTTCTAAGCAATTTTCCATTTTGGTAATGATGTGTCTCCTTCTTCACTCAGACATGCAGGTATTCAGGGAACTTTAGCCCTTCTAGAACTTCCAAGAAGAACATAGTGAATTTTACTTTTCTTACATAATAATTAACACACTGATTGCTTGTCCTTCAGGAATACAGCCCACATATCCTTTCTTCCCAAACAAATATATATTCAACAACAAAATGAATATCACCTCAGTTGTCTCAGGCACTGGTTTAAGAGCCTAACCTATGCATTAAGATCATCTAATTTAATTCTGACAACAACCCTAAGAGATATTTTGAGAAAACTCATGCTCAAAAAGATACTTTGGGAAAAATCATGCTCAAAACATGTCTTAACATCATAGTTAGTGAAGGAAGATTTGTATCTTGGCTGTCTGACTCCAGAGTGATTCAGCATGATAAGGGATGTAATTGTTTATATGGAATGCTGTGTCTTGGGGAGAAATAATTACTGTGAGAGAATATGAAAGACTTTCCCAGGGAAGGTGTTGCTTTACCTGAAACTTAACAAATGAGAATTATCCAGACACACAAAGCTCTATCTTGTCCTGGCTATAACAGGAAGAGGGAGCAGCATGTGCATGATATTAAACTGGAAGTTTCAACTGAGGTACCAAGATTTGATAGACTCCAGATGCCAAAGTGAGTTGTAACACACAAAAGGAAGATGTTTATAGGAAATACCCAACACTCAGTTTCATAACTCATCAGCCTCTTAACCCAGATATGGATCTAAAAATTGCTAAGAACTACAGTATTGGTGGATTTTTTTTCATCTCATAAAATGATGGTGGTTTTTTTTTTTTTTTTGAGAAAGCTGCACATTGAACACCAAATCCTCCCAAAAGAGAAAGGGGTGCTTTCCTTTTCACTTCAAGTTTAGTGGGAGAAGCTTGAAAAGAACCTTACAGAGAGTCTGATATATATCGCTCACCTGGATGACAGCAGTAGCAATAGGAAAAATGAAATAGTGAGAGAGGGAGAATTAAATTATAGAATAGAATTATGTTAGGGAAGTACCTTCCACTTCTTTTCACTGTGGGTCAATAAAATTTCCCTACCTGTGGAATCACTATGCTGTACACTTGAAACTAATGTAACATAATGTGTCAATTATACTTCAATTTAAAAAAGTTTCCTATGGACTACAACTGAGTTATGTGAAAGGGAAAACTGATGTGAAGCCATTTTCATTTCTCCCAAAGACCCATGAGCAAGTCTAGGAAACTCGAAGAGAGAAAAAAATCTGTAGGAAATTCACAATCACAAAACCAGGGGCTCCAGGGGAAACAATTACAGGAGGAAATATTCTTTTGTTATATCACAGAAGATGTGTGGGAAGGCAGCCTGGGAGATTCTGAATGTCCACTGGCCCAGAAGGGACAAAAGAATGAGTCCGATCTAACCGTCATCCAGGTCAGGAGAAGTCAAAACCTTTTTAATATGATAGACACCAAAGGAACATATTACTGTCACCCCTTTGTCAAGCTTTATCCCAGAGGGTGCGTTCAGCAACTGTTACTAGACTTCAGAAAAACGAGGAAAGGGATAGATAACCTACTATTATGACTCCTTTTTTGAACTTCAGATTCTTGCCTGCCTGGATCCAATGAGGAAATTTAACTATAGAATTGAGACACATTTGTGATAAAAAGTAATCTTTACCCTTTCTAATACCTAAAGGTTAGAAAAGAATTTACGGGATCCATGAGCTTTTTATTCAGCAGAAGAGGAAAACAATCCTCAAATAAATAAATTTTCAAAGAATAACAGATAATGTCACTTCCTGAGTAGTAGGTGTTCAACATCCCAGGTATTATGTATAATATACCAATTTATTATTTTCTTCTATTTATAATATTATAAATTTTTATAATATTTTTATAAATATTTTTATAAATTTTTAAATAGTTTATTGTCAAGTTGGTTTCCATATAAAACCCAGGGCTCATCCCCACAAGTGCCCTCCTCCATGCCAGTCACCCCCCTTCCCCTCCCCCTCATTTGCCCTCAGTTTGTTCTCAGCATTCAAGAGTCTCTCATGGTTTGCCTCCCTGTCTCTCTCCCACTGTTTTTCCCCTTCTTCTCCCCCATGGTCCTCCGTTAAGTTCCTCCTAATCCTCCTATACGTGCAAACATATGGTATCTGTCCTTCTCTGCCTGACTTATTTCGCTCAGCATAACACCCTCAAGGTCCATCCATGTTGCTACACATGGCCAGATTTCATTGTTTCTCATTGCCATGTAGTATTCCATTATTGTTTAAAAGACTGTTTACTCCTTCTTCTTCACTTCAATAGCAGGAACATACATTTGTACTCCACTCATATTACTTACACTGTTCCTTGTGACATAAAGGCTTTTTTGTACCCCTGTGTATCAGTTACAGTTGCTACAGAAAAATGCTGGATGACAAATGGTCACAGTAGCTCAGAAGTATTGACCAACAAGCATTTATGTTACTTATCAATCTGAAGGTTGTTTGGAGCTTGGCTGATCTAGCTTGGGACGGTTGTATTTTTCTGGACTCAGCTGATCTCACTGGTGTTTCTGTGGCCAGCTGCAGGTTGGCTGACCTAAAGTGCACTCGTGTAGGGTGGCCCTGTCCCATGCATCCCTCCTTCTGGTCTGGGACTCGCATATGGACACTCTCAGACTCTTACTCAATCCTCCTTTCTTCTCCTGATGCCATATGCTAGACTGTTGCTAACTTAGCATTGTTATCAGCTACTTCTGAGCTTTTCCTGCATTGCAGTGGCAAGGCTAGAAGCTACATTTTCCAGATTTTTCTTTTCTGTATTGTTCTTGTTTAATGTCTTCCAATGAGAGGAACTCATGAGGAGTTTAGAAGACAAGAGAAGAAGCCATTATTTTCTGGAGGTAATTAGAACCTGAAATATGGGTAGATATAAGCTTCACAGTAGTTTCCCATTGAACTAAGAGCCACCTGCGTTATGCAGGAGACCAAGACATTTGGGGACTTTTTCAATGATTCTTGAGATTTGCAGCACTTCCCACTAATCTTTGAAACCATCTATTTTATGCTCACACTGAAATCTTTAGTTTTGGGCTTTTTAGTCTTCAAGCACAAGTTCCCAGACCTCTGTTCCTCACCTCTTGCAACAGTTGTATAAGCAAGAACTTTTGTTCTTCTCTTCTGAACAATTCTTACTGATAGACTTTTACTTTAAATTTACCCATTATTTACCTGTATCTTTTTTTTTTCTTTTGAGTACAGATGAAATTACCTAATTGATACTTTCATTTGCAGCCAAGAACATCTACTGCAGAGTAGTGGAGACAGAATGAACTTTTAAAACATTAATTTTTAAAACTTCATTATTAATATGAAGAAACATTAAGATGAATCTACTTCACACAACATTAAAAGTAATCCAGGTATTCAAGGACTTTCAAGGACTGAATACAAAGTTTTAAAATTTTATATAAAAATGTAGCACATTGTCTTCAAGTATGTGACACAAGGAAGTTCTTTTTATTTTTCTTTTAAAAACTCTCCTTCCTCTATGCATTTATCCTTCTCTGCATTAAGCTCTGAACCCTATTGATGATTAATCTTTTGTCGGCTCTACAGTTTGCTTTCTCTAGAGTTTCATATAGTAAGAATCATACCATATTTAGCCTTCCAGACTGGTTTCTTGGTACAACTACTTTATAGAAGAGTTTAGCAGTGATAGTTACATAGAACATCACATGCTTACAATTCAGTAATTCTTCTGAGTATATAATTTACAGAATTTATTGCATATATGCACTAGATGATGTACAAGAATGTATGTAGCATCATTGATCAAAATAGCAAAATGCTGAAAACAAACAAAATAGCCATAAAAAATAGAACAGACAAGTGTGTGATAGTCTCACTGTGGAATGTAATACAATAGGAATGAGTTCACATCACAAGGATGATTCCAGACAACAAAGGCAAAACCTAGAAGAATAAATATATTGTTATTTCATTGATACACAGTTCTAGAGCAGGCTAAGTTGAAGGAACAGTATAATGTGCTAAAACTATTATTTTTCTTTTCAAATTTTTATTTAAATTCTAGTTAGTTAACATACAGTGCAATAATGGTTTCAGGAGAAGAATTCAGTGATTCATCACTTGCATACATACATACATCACTTATATACAACACCCAGTGCTCATCATAACAAGTGGTCTC